CTGCTCGTGTTAAGAGGTGTTGATTCCGACGACGACGGGCGTAAAAAACTGTGGTGCGAGCATTGCAAAAAACCGTGGCATATGAAGGAGACGTGTTGGAAGCTTCATGGTAAACTAATAAATTGGAAGCCAAAATCCAAACGTGACGGTCGCGCCTACCAAGCCACTGCTGAAGAGACTCAGGAGCCTTCTACCAACTCGGATGCAGTCTCTTTTACCAAGGAGCAATTAGAGCACCTGTACAAATTGTTTTCTCCAAAATTGCCCTTAACTCCGTCTTGTTCTTTGGTACAGATGGGTAACTCTCTTGCTACTGTGTTTTTTGGTGTTATTCCTAACCCTCTTCATTCTTGGATAATTGATTCAGGCGCAACTGATCATATGACCGGTTGCTCCAAATTATTCTCATCCTATAGTCCGTGTGCAGGCAATTAAAGGTCAAAATTGCAGATGGTTCACTCTCGGTAATTGCCGGGATAGGAACTATCTAACTCACTCCTTTGTTAACCCTCCATGATGTGCTCCACGTTCCCAATTTGTCTTGCAATTTGTTGTCCATCAGTAAAATTACCTCTGATCATCAGTATCAAGCTAATTTCAACTGTTCTTATTGTGAGTTTCAGGAATTGGCCACGGGGAGGATGATTGGCAGTGCTAAGGAAAAAGATGGACTCTATTATTTTGACAATGGACTTGACTCGAGTAGACGATGCCAAAGTACTTCCTTAAATTCTGTTTCTGTTTCCAAAGATAATGATATTATGTTATGGCATTATAGGTTAGGCCATCCTAGTTTTTAGTATTTAAAATACTTGTTTCCCAATTTATTTTGGAATAAAAGTCCATCCTCCTTTCAATGTGATGTTTGTCAGTTTGCTAAACATCATCGTGCATCTTTTTCACCACAACCCTACAAACCAACTACAACATTTACTGTGATTCATAGTGAAATCTGGGGCCCATGTAGAACATCTACGCATTCTAGAAAAAAATGGTTTGTGACCTTTATTGATGATCACACGAGATTAAGTTGGGTTTATTTGATGAAGGAAAAGTGGGAACAATTTTCAAAAAAATTTACACCATCGTACAAACACAATTTCAAAAAAATATTCAACTATTGCGGAGTGATAATGGTCGAGAATATTTCAAACACATTTTGGGCCAATTTTTTCTTGAAAAAGGAATTATTCATCAAAGTTCTTGTGTCGACACTCCGTAACAAAATGGTTTGGCTGAAAGAAAAAACAAACACTTATTGGAAGTAGCTCGGGCATTGCTTTTTACCAATCAGGTACCTAAATATCTTTGGGGTGAAGCCCTTCTTACTGCTACATATCTCATAAATCGAACGCCTAATAAGGTTTTAAGCTTTGAAACACATTTTGATGTTTTTCATAAGTTTTATCCAACAAATCGGCTTTCTTCTTCTTTACCTCTAAAAATATTTGGTTGTACCGCATTTGTTCATATTCATAGTCATAATCGAGGAAAACTTGAACCCCGAGCCACAAAATGTGTGTTTGTTGGTTATGCTCCCACTCAAAAGGGGTATAAATGTTTTGAACCCATTTCCAAAAAAATGTTTGTTAACATGGATGTTACTTTTTTTGAATTACATCCCTATTTCACGCCTCATCTTCAGGGGGGGAACCAAAACAAAGATTCGGTTGTTTTTCATAATTTTTTCCAAATTGAAACTGAAGACTCGAAAAATGATCCTTCTCCAACTTTGATTATTCAACCTGAAAACCCAAGCTTTATTATACCAAGAGAAAGTGAATCGAGTTTTTTAGATACTAAAAAGGCAGGTCTTCCTACAGTGCCATCTCATGATGTTCATGATCCTATAACGACTAACAAAGGAGAAACAGGAAAAAGAAACCCAGCATTGGTACCATTTGACATTGTCTACTCGCGACAGAGGACAACTCGAGAGAAAGGGTCTTCGAATCCTTTGCACTGCTCAGAATCCGTAAACCCTCCAGGTAATGTCCTCACCAAGCCTTTACCTCATGTTCAGCCCATTTCGTCTTCGAGTTCTAAGTCCTCTAGTTCTGAACACGAGTCTAATTCCAATCCCGAGTTCGATGATTCTGAACTTCCCATTGCTATCCGGAAGGGTGTGAGGTCTTGCACCCAGCATCCATTGTCCAATTATGTGTCATATGAACATCTCTCACCTATTTTTCGTGTTTTTACCTCACAATTGTCTTGTATGGAGATTCCTAATATTGTGCAGGATGCTCTGAAAGTTCCTGAGTGGAAGGAGGCTGTCTTCGAGGAGATGAAAGCTCTTGAAAAAAATGGCACGTGGGAGTTAGTTTATCTACCAAGAGGAAAGTCAACTGTAGGGTGCAAATGGGTGTTTACAGTCAAGTATAAATCTGATGGGTCTCTAGAATGGTATAAAGCTCGATTGGTTGCCAAGGGATTCACTCAGACCTATGGCATTGATTACTCGGAGACATTTGCCCCAGTCACAAAGCTAAACTTTGTAAGAGTTCTTTTGTCACTTGCAGCTAATCGTGACTGGCCTCTGCAACAACGTAAAAAAATGAATTCCTCAATGGAGACCTGGAGGAAGAACTGTACATGGATATACCTCCAGGATTTGGTGAAAAGTCTGGCACAAAGGTGTGTAAACTGAAGAAGTCCTTATATGGGTTGAAACAGTCACCAAGAGCCTGGTTTGAGAAATTCACTTAGTTTGTTAAAAGCCAAGGGTATACTCAAGGGCAAGGTGATCATACGATGTTTATAAGACATTCACAAGATGGGAAGATAGCGATATTGATTGTGTATGTTGACGATATAATTCTCACTGGAGATGACGTACTTGAAATGAACCGATTGAAGACTTCCCTCTCATCAACATTTGAGATCAAGGACTTAGGATCTCTGAGGTATTTCCTTGGAATGGAGGTTGCTCGGTCAAAGAAAGGGATTGTTGTCTCCCAACGGAAGTATGTCCTTGACCTCCTTAAGGAGACTGGGATGAGCGGTTGTAGGCCAGTAGACACTCTAATCGATCACAATCAGAAACTTGGAGATGACAAGGAAGGTGGTCAAGTGAATACAACTCGGTATCAAAAGTTGGTGGGAAAGTTAATTTACCTAGCACATACACGGCCCGATATTGCTTTTGCTGTGAGTTTGGTAAGCCAGTTTATGCATTCACCCTACAAGAAACATCTTGAAGCAGTTTATCGGATTCTCAGATGCTTGAAAAGTACACCAAGCAAGGGTTTACTCTTGCAAAAGACCACACAATAGAACATAGAGGCATACACTGATGCAGATTGGGCAGGCTCGGTTATTGACAGGAGATCCACGTCAGGATACTGTACTTACGTCTGGGGAAATCTGGTCACATGGCAAAGCAAGAAACTGAATATGGTTGCAAGGAGCAGTGCTGAGGCAGAATATAGGGCTATAGCTAACGGAGTTTATGAGATACTATGGTTGAAGAGAATTCTTGATGAGTTGCGGATGCCGATGAACACGCCAATGAAGTTGTATTGTGACAACAAAGCTGCCATAAGTATTGCACAAAATCCAGTACAACATGATCACATGAAGCATGTGGAGATTAACAAACACTTCATAAAAGAGAAGATTGATAGTGGAGCTGTTTGCATGCCTTTTGTTCCTACTACTCAACAAATAGCTGATATCTTCACCAAAGGACTTTTCAGACCTAGTTTTGAGCTCTTTATAAGCAAGTTGGGTATGATACATATCTACGCTCCAACTTGAGGGGGGGTGTCGGATTTCTAGGAAATAAATTAGGAAATTCAATTTTTGAAAATAAAATCTGAAACTACTATTTCAGATTTTAGCAGTTTCTGTTCCTTGTTTTCTAGCCTAGAGTTTTGCTGATTTTGTGGGCTTCCTGATTTGGTGGCCTTCCTCTACTATTTATCTTGTAATCGTCTCTCTTGAAAAATAAGAAGACTGAATATTTTTCTTCTTAAAAAAACCTTCACTAGTGATAGGCAATGTTCACAGTTATGAGGATGATAGCAATGGTAGGTGTTTTGGTCCTATGGTAATGGTGACTGACACTCATACTCTTCATTTTTTACCTCTTACAACCTTGTGTAAATAATTAGTGAATAGAATTGACATATAACACCTCAAATCTTGTTATCTGTAAAATTCCTCAACATAACTAAACTTCAAATCTTAAATTTGAGGTGGATTTTCAAACCCATTAAAGATTGCATCGTGAAGACAAGATTCCGATTTGAAGGGCTGGATCCAAATCCCATCCTGTATTCAACCTACAAACCAACCAACCTTACTTTAAAGTTATGCACTTCACAAATAGTACCAACAGTTCTCCAAATGTTAATTGGCTTTGAAACAACATTGACATGAACATAGCCACCAATACCAACTCCTGGATGTCAAACTCCAAAAACAATTAAGCATCACAAATTGGATGGTTGTACTGAAGACCTCTAGAGTGAACCAATCAAACCTTCTTCTCTATTCTAGATATTGTTAATCACAAATTATATGCGATATCAAAAGAAATTAGTACCATACTTAATAATGAAAATACAGGAAGAGCCTTAGAAGTTAACTAACCCTAACAGCTATAAGAAACTATGACAACGATTCCTTGCCATCCTCTCTTCCATTTATTCATTTATAAATTTTTTCGGTATATCTCCATTTGTGTTTCCATCCTTCACAATTCGCTAAATCAAAATAGTTAAATTTTAAGTGTTAACACCTAAGATTAAAATCAATAAGCAAAAAGCATCAACTACATTTTGATTTAATTTGCAAGATTTCCAAACAAGGGGTGGGGGGAAAAAAAGAATACAAAGTCAAAAAGCCTCGCATGGAATGAGTAGTACTTTAAATGACAAATAGTATCCCATAGCATATAGACATAAGAGCAAAGAGTTAGCAAGAAAAGCATATCATATTGCTACAAGACCTTCACTGATGCATGATTAAAAAGTAAAGAGTGCATGAAGCAAAACCTGCACTTCTCGTAGCAAAATTCCATCAGTCATGAACTTGATGGAGCAATTGTCCCCGATCCTCTTGTCATGCCTAACTTGAAAGCCAACCTCCTTACCTAGACAAAATCCAAGCTCAAAGGCCACTCGCTTGGCAGTTGCAAGGACAGCAACACGACGTGGTTGGGTTACACCGATGATACCACTTTGAACACTGGACTGGTTTGAACCAAAGCCAGCTTCATACAGAAACTGAAAGATGCCATTAAAAAAAGGAGTAACGACCATCATCCATGCAAAAAATAAAAAAGTAAGAAAACAAAATAAAATAAAAATTATTGGGTTCCAGCAGATAGACAATAAGAGGCATCAAACTAGCTCACCTGTGGAACTTGAGTGGTTTTACCACAACCAGTCTCCCCACATATAATCACACTCATATTTTCATATATAGCTTCCATTATCTCCTGTTCCATCATGACTATTGGAAGATCATTTCTCTTGTTCTCAACCTCCTTTGGTCTTGATACATGCACTACAGCTGGGGCAGTTAGAACTGTCAAAGGAGGACAATCTGCTAGATTGCTCATATTGTTGATACTTATTGAACCCTGAGCTGAGCCATCCTGTCCCATATTAAGCCCACCATTAGGCACAATAATACATATTTGACAAACAAGTATAATATAAATGCATGGTGTCTGATTATAAATAAACCAATTTCCCTTCACATTCAGTTTAAGAAAATTGTTCAATATAAGATTTCTTCAATATTTCAAGAGTGAAGTATACCATTGGCTGGATAATTTTTCTGCCATCATGACCACATGATGTGGGGGAAGAATTTGGCACATCATCATGCATACATGTGTCATCTCTCTCATTGGCAACTTCCCTTACTGGAAAAGCAGCATCAGGTCCACCATTGGCACCTAGTCCACTGCCGCAAACTGATTCTCGAAAAGATCCCAACGAAACAGGAACATGGCTTAGGACTTCTTTTGCTGCTATTGTTGGTTGAAAAAAGTTATCATCGTCATGGTTTTGTCTCGAGTGGATTTCGTCAGCATAAGGTTCAGTTTCAGAGAAAGTACTGACGGCACCCCTGCTCTTGAAGGAATGATCATTGTGTGGAATTCCTAAACCCACCTTCGAAAACTGCACTGCCCTCCTACGTTTTTCGCGGACAGTTTCAACCTACAAATGGATCTGCCCTTTCATGAAATAAGCCTAACAGGATTTTTTTTTTTTTACTTTCACTCTAAGAGTGGCATCATAACAGTGATACAAACCTGACCAATATTCCGTGAAGACCACATAAGTGAATATGCATCAACCCGTATCTTGTATTTCCTGAAACGTGATCACCCAACATGTGTATCAAACATTCTTGGGATAAAGATGAACTGCACTACCAATTAACTATCCAAGACAGACCAAACAGATAACTTACTCCAAGGCCTCAATGCTTTTAGCTAATAGACATGCTTTCTCCTTCTCCTCCTACACGTATGAAAACCAAGTCAATCCATATTCAATAAACATGAATGGAAATCAGAAAAAAAAAAAAAAAAAAAAAAAAAAAAACAAAACAAAAAACAAAAAACAAAAACAAAAACAAAAACAAAAACCAAACAAATCAAAACAAAACAGAACAAAAAACAAAAGCACATGCAAGCAAACAGACCTCTAGCTTCTTCAGCTTTCTTTTCTGGGATTTGCTCAACTTCGGGTTTTTCTTTGTTTCAACGAGTTCATGTCCCTGGTGTGTAATTGAACATTAAAAATTATATAATGACATACTAGAACAAGAATTCCAGTACAGTACTGGCAAGTTTGCTGCAAATACCTGATTTTTGCCATTCTTTTTTATCCTTTTCTCTCCCGGCAAGATCATCGCATTACTATCACCATTTAAACTATGATAATGCAAACAAAGAGAAAAAGTGGTTCACCAACCATAACAAGAGAATTTCAAAGTTCAAACACACACGTGATGCATTAAACATTACATATACGTCCAAAACTATAGCAATTTGACCATTTTCATTGAAAATTGATCACAACCAGTAAGTGTGCTATTGAAATCAGAGTTGGCAGCCCTTCCCACTTACACATATCAATGTTTTAAATTTCTTTTTTCCCTCTATAAGGATATGACAAGTAAAATTTCTACATTCTGTTGGAGTGGTGGTCAGGAGTCTAAACTGAGGTGGATAAGCTGGCCAACTCTGTGCATACCTAAGAAGTACTGAGGTCTATGTTTTAAGTGTCTTGGCGCGTTTAATCTAGCCCTCCTTTCCAAGCTAGCTTGGACGATGGAAGTAAAAGGTACCTCTTTCCTATTTAAGTCAAAGCTAAGTACTTTCTTTCTTCTTTCTTTTTAAATTCTTCTTGTTCCCGAACTGCTTCTTGGACCCGGAAGAGCATTCAAGCTGCCAAACCTATTTTTAAACAAGGGTTAAGGTGAAAAATAGGTAATGGTAGTCAAGTGAAAATTTGGGGAGATACTTGGCTTCCTGTTCACATGAATCATTGTGTCTATTCAAGAAAAAGAGACTGTGGTTTGCACTGGGTGGGTGCAGAACTTATTAATTATGACTCTCATACTTGGAAATTTGATTTGATTCAGAGGTTTTTTTAATAATAGAGATAGCAGTCTCATAATGCAAATTCCATTGAGTCTTACAACTAGTGAGGACTGCAAAATTTGGGATTGACGGCTAATGGAAGATTTACAGTTAAGACAGCTTATCAGTTGGCTTTGAAGACGATGAGAAGTGTCAATTGAAAATGCTAGCGGCAGTGGTGTTTCTGAGAAAGATCCGCTTTGGAAGGGTATTTGGGATGTTAGAGTTCCAAGGAAATCAAATTTTTCTTGTGGCAGTGTTGTCATGATGCTCTTCCAGTAAGAACTAATTTGAAAAGAAGGGGTTTGGTAGAAGATGCTATTCGCAAGCTATGTGGCCAATCTGAGAAAACAACTGCACATGACATATTTAATTGTCCTATAACACAAATAGTATGGAGACTGAGTCCATTAAGGATTCATTTTAATCTCTCTCTTAATAAGAGAGATGGCAAAGTTTGGTTGAGCAATGGAAAGGAGAGGATAGAGGTGCTGATCTTATCAGTTCGGTTGTGCTTTAATTAGTTGGCACTTGTGCACAAGGCAAGAAACAATTGTGTATTTTATAGTGTTCACCGGATCCTGTTCAAGTTATGGAGAGGGCTGTGCTTTTCTTTAATGAATTTAAAGCAAGTTCAGTTGCAAAAGAAGTTGGAATCTATGCCTGCTATATTCTATTCTGTTTCTAGTTTGGAAAAATGGACTGCTCCTAAAAATGGTAGACTCAAACTTAATGTTGATGCTTCATACCATCAGTGGTCTAAAAATTGTGGAGGGGTTATAGTGTTGAGAGATCATTTGGGTAGACCAATTAAAGCAACATCTGTGTTTTTACTTCAGTAGCACATGCTACTGGTGCAGAGGCTCTTATATTGAGATATAGTGTTACACTGTTGCTTCAATGGCGGTGTAAGGAAGTCGACATTGAAGGGGATTGCCAACCTATTATGCACTTGAAGCCAATTGATGCAGTTAAGTTTTAGTTGATGTCCGGATGATACAGTTGTTTTGCTTCAACAGTTGCCAGAATGTAACTTAGTATGGGTGCCTAGAAGATGCAATGGAGTGGCTCATGAGATGAGCAAAAGAGCTTTACTGGAGAAAACAACCAATATGGATTGGGATGTATGGCCTACATAGCTTCTTCATGTTTGTACCTCTATTCCTGATTAATAATATTTGCGCGCCTGTCTAAAAAAAAAAGAGAACAAAATCCAACAGCTCAATCTATTGAAAAAATTTATATTCTTACTATGACCGGAATTAATAATTATAAAGATGCATTAACATCTAAATGCAACATTTTTTTAAACCAATTCTTTGATATATAACCTACATTATCTTCAATTGAAGGCAATAAGAATAATATCTGTGGTTACCTCCATGCATTTTGTTCACAATTGAAGCCCACGGACTGTTCTGAAACTTCCAAACGCATCTCCATTTGTTCCAGATTACACAATTCAATAAACAATGGGCCTGAAAATAAAATAAAAAAAGAGACTGTTGATATAATTTCCTTTCCCAACAAAACTGGACCAATAATCAAAAAATATATCGAAGTTGTAGAATAAATCAATTCGAAACCAATCAAGATTACAATTTTTTACATTCTGAAAAACTTCTGTCTCCAGATTCTGTCTGTCTATAGAACTCTACAACAATCATACAAAGATAAAATAAAAAATTGCATTCAACAGAAAATTTGATGCTGGAAATCAATGAAACAGATCAGTACACGTATATAGAGAGAGAGAATTTACTAATTAGAAGCCAGAGTAAACAGTGGTGGTGGTGGGTGGAGCTCGCAGGGCTTCTTCTTCTCGTGGGTGGAGGAGTTCGCGACTAGGGCTGAATAATACTAATAATAAAACAGTTCCAGATAAAAACAGGCAGGCTCCTCTGAAATTGGATCATGAAGAAGTTTTATTACAAAACTATCAACTAAATGAAATTCAAATTATTTTCTAGGATAAATTACACCGACACCCCCTGAAGTTTGCCCTATTGACATCCATACACAATTTAGCCAATTTTTGAAAAATGACACTCCCTCAGGTTTGTAAAGTCAACAAAGACACCCCCAACCCCTCTTACACATGGTAAATTGACTCTATTGCCCTTTGACTTTTGAAATGACCTATTTAAATTATGAAATTATCATTTTAACCTTTTTTAAGTCATTTTAAAGGACGAAACTAACCCTCTATACCAAACCCAACAACCATTGAATTGAATATCCGAGAACTGATTGAAGAAGATGGTAATGATGATGATACGAGTGGCAGTGTTGACTGTGTTGGAAGCCATTTCTGGACTATATATCTACAGCGTATATCATATATATATATACACACACATACATACTCATATATATATACACACACATACATACACGTATATATATATATATATGTGAGTATGTATCTATCTGCAAAGTGCAAACAAGCACCCAAATTATATATAAATATTTTTACAGATTGAGATGGGTTATTTACAGACCCAGTACCTCTCTATCTCTCTACAATGGAGAACCCAAAATTGAAACAATCAGACCCCAAAAGGCCACAAACCCTAACCCCCTGCAGCAGTGGGAGAAGAAGTATATATTTAATCTATTCTTCTCTCTCTGGACCTTCACTTTCATTTCCTCAATCATCCCCTTCACTGCTCAGTCACCAATCCCATACACATACACATATATACCCCATAGACATACGTCAACAATGGCGTTATTGCCATTGCCATTGCTGTTAAAAACAAAGCATACAGTAGTGATCAGCGTCAAACAGAGCATCCTAATCGTTGAGCAGAGCCTACTGGTTTGATTTGGGGTAATTTGGAAAGAGAATATAAATAGAGATGTGGTGAATTGAAGCTCTGCTTTTTTCAATTCAATTGCATATATATTATATATATACATATAACCACACACCAACACACACAGAAAAAATTGAAACTCTGTTTTTTCAATTTAATTGTATATGAGCGCGGGCGCAGTAAAAATTAAAGCTCTTTTTTTTTCAATTTAATTGCAAATACATATACGTATATATATATATCTATAACCACACACACACAATAGGAATCGAAGCTCTATTTTTTCAATTCAATTGCATACATATATACATATACGTATACAAGGTTATTAAATCAAGATTCTACCTAGAATCGTTTTAGGCTCCGTAGAATCGGAATCGTAGAATCAGATCGAGAATCGTAAGATTCTATCAACTAGTAAAAAAAGAGTTCAAACTAACTTCTTAAGGAATAATATATTAATATCTTTATAATATAGCAAGAATAAAGCCCAAAAAAATGTATAAAAGTACCATTCCAAAGTCCAAATATCATATAAAAGAGAATGTAGCTCAAAAGGTAGACCTCTCATCATGACAATTTTGCAATTTATAAGTTGTGAAGTTGTGTGTGAGAAGATTAAGGTTTCAATCCTTGCCTTCTTTTTCACACCATCTATGCAATTTACAAATTGTGAAGTTGTGTGGGAGGAGATCGAGGTTCGAATCCTTGCATTCTCTCATATTACTAATTTACTATGCAACATAACAAACAAAGTTAACAAATACCAAAGTTAGAAACTAAAAGTCTTAATTCTTAAAATTACATATCCGCAACATAAGTTGATTAAGTTCACAAAACTGAAAACCCAAATCCTAACATCTCCCTTAAAGAAGAAACTCAGAAAGCAGTAAGCACAAATAAGATAGAAATGAACTAAAAAATATCGGCATTCTCGTCAAAGTCTTCATTTTCAGCCAACTATAAGTCACGATCACCATCACCATCACCCCCATCAACATCCTCATACTCATCCTCATCATCATCATCACCAAGACCAGAATTTCTTGAATCATTTAAGGGCTCCACATCTTCATCTTCATCATCATCCAAAATTACAAATAAAGAAAGAAAATCAATATAATTCAATTAATTCCTACAAAACAAGTTTAAACTTTAAACTTTAAACTTTAAAGTAGAAGTCTAGACATATATTTTGAAATTAAATCTTAAAACTTACATGCACACTCTACATTTCTAGTAATCCTTTCCACTTCATCTTCTTCATCGGTATCATCCTCTTGGATTTTGTCATCAAGCACACTCAACCATTTAGTTTTTTTGGGAAGAGCTGGATTCTCTTTTTCTGTAATCCATTCATCATCAGATGGGACATCATCCTCGAAACAAATTGGATCTATGACAGCTTGTCTTCTCATGTGCCTCTCCCTCAATTTTATGTTATACATAACAAATACCAAGTCATTCAATTTCTTTTGGTGCAACCGATTTCTCCTTTTTGAATGCACCTAAATAATAAATATAATGCCAATAGGGTTAAAAAATAAAAACTTAAAAGTTTAAACTAAATTACAATAATTTAATATGTTACCATCTCAAAGGCACTCCAATTTCGTTCACATCCCGAAGAGCTACATGTTAAGCTTAATATTCTAATTGCAAACCGCTTCAACTCGGGACACTCATCTCCATATGATCCCCACCAATCAACTATCATACAAAATATATATATATATATATATATATATATATATATATATATATATATTATAGTTAGTAACTTAGTACTTTCTAACTTTCTACTTTCTAGTTAGATACATTAAAGTAAAGCTAAATTGTTAAATTTGCCAATTGAAATTATGAATTTTGAATATTGACCATCAAACCTGGAGACTTCTTGTTCCTTGTCAATATTGCATTTTGAATACCAAAGAGCCCTCTTGCACTTTTGAATGCATCCATTTGGCAATCAATTTTCACTCTCTCACTAGAATCAGGAACCATTCTTTGGAGACAATTATATAGCCCTATTTTCACCTCTGCATCTGAATGGAAACTTGGACTATACTGGAATTGGGGATTTAGAAAGTATGCTGCCGCATGCAAAGGTTGATGAAGTTGAGATTCCCATCTTGCATTAATTATCTTCCAAATAGGTTCATAACTGCACATTCATTGTTTTATAATTAAGTGTAAGTCTAGTTTAGTATCTACTTCTACTAGTTTTTCAGTTTTAATTTTAACTATTTAAAAACAACACTAAATAAGTAAATAGTAAATAGTAAATAACTAAAAACTAAAAACTAAAAAAAAAAAAATTGGAGACTATACCATTTTTTAACATTTTTGAAGTTCTTTTGAATTTCCTCCTTGGCACGATCCATTGCTTTATAAATGAATCCCATAGCTGGTCTCTCATCAGAATCCACCAATCGAAGTACTTTAACAAGAGGCAGTGTAGCTCTTAGACACAAATCAACATTTTTCCAAAAGTTACGATTGTCTAAAGCTATGCCTTCAATTTTTTTTCCTTCATCTAACTTTGCAAACCTACTAGACGTCCACTTTCTAGATGCAAAAAGAGTCATTAATCCTCCTTTTAGCTCGTTAAGGCGCTGTAAAGTTAGGTAAGAAGTGGCAAATCTTGTCACTGCAGGTCTAATAAGCTCCTTGTTATTAGTGAATTCCTTCAACATCCAAGTCTTTAGCATAGCTCTCGAATAAATGAATGAAACAATCATCCTTGCTTTTGCAATTGTCACACGATGCATTTTAATTTGTTTCTCAAAATCTTCCAACATCAAATCAATGCAATGAGCGGCACAAGGTGTCCAAAATAACCTTTTCCTCTTTTCCATCAACATGTGTCCAGCAGCTTTGTAGTTGGAAGCATTATCAGTCACAACTTGTACAACATTATCTTCCCCAACTTTTTCCACGATCTCATCTAACATTTCAAAAACCATTTCAGTAGTTTTTGAAATATCAGAAGTATCTTGGGATGACAAGAAGATAGATCCTGATGGGCTATTGATAAGGAAATTACATATTGAACGCCCTTTCCTATCCGACCACCCATCTAACATAATAGTACATCCGGTCTTCACCCATTCTTCTCTAAAATTCTTGAGGACATTTAAAGTTTCCTGCACTTCCTTCTTCAAGAATGTCTCTCTAATTTCATGATAAGAAGGAGGTTTGAGCCCCCTACCAAACTCTCCAATCCTCTTAATCATAAGAGGAAATATGGGATTGTTCACACAATTGAACGGGATGGCACTTGTATAAAAAAATCGGGCTATGATTTGACATACTTCATTTCTCTCCTCCTCCTTAAATTTCTTATTAATTGTTGTTTGTCGTGCCGAATTCTTTGTTACAAAGCTATCCATAAAAAGTTCCTTTCCTTTTTGCTTCTTTGAAATTGATTGTTGAAGTATGCAATCATCATTACCCTCATCGACATCATATAATCGCCTTTTCTTCTTTTGACTTTCTTCCGACCGAGCATGAAGTATATCTATAAATTGTTCTCTCACTTCTATGGGGACTTTTGGACACGCCTCAACATTTGAATGTGTGTCAGCTAAGTGATGTTTGTGCCCAAATATACCCCCAAAATGGGTAACATTGCAATACCGACACTTCATTTTTTTTGAAGTCCCATCCTCAATCCCATGTTCCCATCCCGGATCTAATCTTTGTCCCGGTGAATTTTTTCTCTTATCCTTTACTGAACTGCCAGTTGATGTTGATCTTGATGTCATCTACTGAATGACAATGATTCAAGAGTCAAGACTTCATGACTCAAGAGTTCAAGACTTCATGACTCAAGAGTTCAAGTTACTAAATGATAATCATTCACCAGCAAATTCAGCACTCGAAAAATTGAAACAAAACATAAAGTATAAACAGAAGTTACAGAACAGAACACGTGCTTCTGTTTCCTTACAGAAGTAGAAGCAAGGATGAAACAGAAGCAGAAGCAGAGGAAGAACAAAAAAAAATTGTTCTGTTTCGTTACAGAATATTCAGAACAGAACTACAGAAGCAGAAGAAGAACAAAAAAAAAAAAATTGCAGAAGAGAAATCAGAAGCAGAACAAAGAAGCGAAAGAACAGAAGAAATCAAAAAAATTTGCATAGAAATCAAAAAAATTTGCATAGAAATCAGAACAAAAAAATTTGCATAGAAATCAGAAGCAGAACAAACTACAAAGAAGTGAAAGAACAGAAGAGAAGCAGGACAAAAAAAAATTTGCATAGAAATCGGAAGCAGAACAAAGAAGTGAAAGAACAGAAGAGAAGCAGAACAAAAAAAAAAAAAAAAAAAAAAAAAACACACCTTTGTTGAGTGAGTGAACTGAGTCTGAGAACTGAGAAGGTCTGAGGAGTGAGGACTTCGAAGTTTGAAGTTGTTGTAGTGTGGAACGAAGTCCAGAAGTTGTCCAGAAGATTCTTGAAGGCTGGAAATCTGGATCTTTGTCAAAGACACAGACAGGAGCAAAGTGAGATCGCGGCAGTGACAGGAGCGAAGTGGGATTTGGGGCTCGGCAGAGGAAAAGAACGAGAAGATTTTGCCCTTAGTTGGGTCTTCTCTTTATTATATCGACTTTTTAATAGTTTTATGGGCCTCAAGGATGTGGGTCTTTCTTATTTCCAGAGCCCAATTGTAAATAAAGTGAATCCAGACTTAAATTATGTTAATAAATTAATCAATATACCCTTTCACATTTTAAAAGATAAATTTATAAGTTGAGGATGCAATTTTTGAGGACACTCACTGGACAAGAATAAAAACAATTCTCAGCTTGGATCATTTTTGGCCCTCATAAAATAAATCATTTTTTTAAGCTTCTAATTGAAATGTAAGGGTTCAGATCTTGCAGTTTTCTTCTTAAAATTAAAAGGCGCTATCACAATAAATTTTGAAATATGTAGAGTTCTCTTAAAATATATACAAGAATGCTTACCCAAATACCTTGCCAGAGTATTAAAAAAACACATATCTACATCAAAAATAGCAACTATCAAGCATGTAATTGAAAGAAAATTTATGAACATGAGACCATGGAAGAACATAATGAGCAAAATTAAATACCACATCGAGAGATATACTTCATATATTTTATATTATAAATGAAATATATAAATATCATATATATTTCAACATGTATTGAAGAAACCCATATATGTAGAAAATCAGGAGTAGTAGAAGTTCTCCTTCTCCAAACTCTGACTAAAGGAAACGTACACCGAAAAACTTACCTAACAAACTACTAAAAACAGAGAGCACCATTGAAGAACATGAAAATCTATGGCTACTATCAATTTTATTTTTTTCAATAGAGACCACCATAGAATTAATATAGTTTGATTGAGATAAGGTCAACCACGAGTAATAGAAACCAGCGTCCTTAGTTTCTTGCCTTCTTCAAAGTGAAGATCTGAATGGGTTGAATTGAAGAAAAAGAAGAACCTCCTACAGGCGTTTTGCGCCTTTGTTTTCCGGCCTTCGTGAAATTGTTGATTGTATGGGTAAAGATGCCTAACACACATATGTAATCTAAGGTCGTATTCTGAAAATATATGGGCAATATCGGTATTTACAAAATTTCATTAGAACATATTGTTGTCTTATTAATCCCTCCGTTTCCTCTATTTCCTTTATTTTATGTCCCGTATTTTACACCAAACACAAAATCCCATCTACCTTCGTTACCTTTCTTTTCTTTTCCTTCCAATTCTTTCCAACCAAATTGACCCTAAGGGTTCATTTGGATGGAATGATTTGGAGAAATTTGGAAATAAAAGAAAGGATGGTGAGAAGTGTGTTTGGATAACCTTAGTGGAGAGAAAAGAAATGATATGGAGAGATATCCCTCCAAATCTCTCCTATGTTATCCTCCCAAAAATAGTGGCTTAAATAATATATTCATAATGCCAAAACTACCCTTGGGTGGATGAAGCAATACCTTTTCGAAGGGGAGAAAAGTTATTCTAGTGATGTAGGTGCAAAATTTCGCCCAACCAATAATGATTGAGAAAAATAAAATAACTTACTCAAAAACAATAAAAATAAATAAGAACAGTGTGTAGAGAAGCGTAGAATTGCTTGATCCTTTATTAGAGGTCTTAGCCTCTATTTATATACAAAAGATTGCAAGATTATGGTAGGACTCGCGTTGCTTGCCCTCCAATTCTTTTTATATAACCGTTCTTTTCTAATAGAGTTTTTTCCATTGTCGAATTTTCCATACATAGAACTTGCCTTGTACAGAACTTCCTATCAGAATTTTCCTTCTACAGTAAATCCTTCAAATGGTAGGACTTGTGCATTCTTGGGCCGAATATATTTTGATCCGGCTGGGCTTGAGTAACAGGCCGGATGTTAAATACTCATAAGCTGGGCTGATGACTTCTTGATTCGGCCTTGATGGAAGTTGGAGGACAAATAACAATGGTCTTGGGCTGTAAATACCCTCAACTTGGGCTTGAGCATGATGGGCCTTATATGTCCTTGGAATGTAGATATGGGTAGTGGTGACGTGTGCGCTTTTTATTGGAGGGAGTTTTTTCCCTCCACACTTTACCCCAAATTCCATTTTTAATTGAGTGATGGCTCCTATTAAAGAGTAAATTGAAACCGGTTTTTACTTTGCTTCAGAAACGGTTCGTGGTCTTTCATTATTACTCCGTCACACAAGATTTTGCAAGAGTTACATTTGCCCTTGCTGCACTTCTACGTCCTTCATTCCATCGCTTCCTTCGCTTTGTCAGGTTAGTTTCGCATCTTTCTCTTCAATCTTTCATTATGAGTACTTCATCTACTCCCGAACGTGTAGACCTTGGGGATTCTGAATCCACACCTTCATCTTCCCCCGTTCGCATTAGGGCTCCCCCTCCTAGGTTTTCTACAGATCGCCCTTCGTTGAATCCATTAGGTACTTCCCCTCTTCCAACCGAAACATCCACCTCAGGCTCTGATTATGTTCTTACCCATGAAGAGAAGAAAGCAATCATCTCTATTCGCCGCATCAAGTTCTCTATTGCTTCGGTAATGGAAGAATTTGATATTCCTGAGGGAGTAGAAATTGCAGAATATCCCGAGGGTGCCGATTTCACCTCCGGCGAAGGAATTGAGGAGGATGAGTTGCTTCTTTCGGTAGGGCACCTTAACGCCCTCCGATTCCCTCTTCATCCCTTCTATCATTTAGTTTTCAATAAGCTAGGTCTTGCCCCCCTTCAGGTAAATCCTAATTTCTTTCGCATCCTTTCGGCACTGTTGGTGCGCCGGAAATTAGAGGCTCTGGATTTGACCTTTGCCGACCTTCTGCTTACTTACAATATATCTAAGCATGGGACCGAGCCTGGTCGCTTCTTTTTTACTTCTCCCCTTCATCAGAGGATATGCACGAACCTCCCTTCATCCGAAAAGAAATGGAAAGAAAGGATGGTTGTAGTTAAAGGAAAATGGTTCGTGTCCCAATCAATTGCGCTCCCTATCCAGCGCAAATTCGGGAAATTAGGTATAGAATATTTAACCTCCCTTCATACCAAGTGTTCTGGCTGTTTTCCTTGCCAAGTCTTAATATTTCGCCATATTTATGAGTTTCTTGGTGTTTTTTCAGCTACATTCCCATCCTCCGCAGCAAGGAACAGACTTTCTTTTCTTGAGGAACGAGTCTGGAGTGACCCCTCGCCTACCGAGGACCTGCTAACTTCTTCAAACCTCAAGGACATTGCCTCCAGTACCGTTGCTGCAGACCTCATGGATCTGTCTCTACCATCCTTTGACAGTTTCCCCATGACTGAGGAGGAGATACAGAGGGCTGAGGCTTTAAAAAAGAAAGCCGAAGATGCCCAACCCTTGGTCGTCATTGGATCAACTGAGGATGAAGTGGAGGTTGAGGAACCACCATTGAAGAAATCTCGCCTCAACCCCTCATCCTCTGGCAAGGGCAAGGTCCCTTCTAAAAGCAGAGGGAAAAAGGCTGGAGAGGCCGAACCTGAAGATGAAGTTAGGGCCTTTGTTCTAGCTGAGACTGGGGCTCCTTGGACTCCTTCCTTCACCAGGGCTGACAGGTCAGTCCTGCACTCAGGGGATTCTGTGATTACAGACCCTTCAGCGGCACTGGCGGTGGCTCGAGGAATGTGGCTCCCAAAGGACGAGGAAGCCATCAGCCAAATGGGGTTGGAGCAACTACTCCCCTCTGCCCCAGTCCGGGCCATAGAGGTTCGCATTGCTCCTTCAGAATTAAGTTATTCTTGCTTGCTTGTGTTTCTATTTATGCTTATATTTGTTTCCCTGTTAAACAGAGTCTATATCACACCATGGCCCTCTGCGCCACTGCTGAAGCTCAATCCCTCTCCATCAAGAAGTTGGAAAAGGATCTTGACAATGCAGAGAAGAGAGCCACTACTGCCTCTACCAATTTGAAGATAGCTTCTGAAGCCAAGGATACGTATAAGAGGCAGTTGTCAGCCTCTGAGGCTAAGGTGGATTCTCTTCAGGCCGAGGTTCAACGCCTGACCGAGGCTCTTACTACTTGCTTCAAGGCGGGGAAGCAAATGCAGGGGCGCTACTCTTGTCTGGCGTACCTGGCTAGTGCTAAAGCGTTCCGGTCTGGCTATAATCAAGGCTCAGGCCCTAAGACGATGGATCCGGACGCCTTTGACAAGAAAGTGGGGGTGCACTTCCCATACGATGAAGGGCCAGAGGCTTTGGAAGCTGAAATCCGCTTTGCCGAGATGGTGAAGGCACACCTGAAGGGTACTCCTAGCTCCCCTGCTCCTGCGGCTTCAACTCCTCCTACCTCAAGTCCTAATGTAGTGGATGCTTTTGAATCTACTCCCTTCGATCCGAAAAGGAAGTAGAGCCATGTATTTTGTTTTTATGAACAGCCTGTTTTGGGATAATGAATATAATTTTTCGTTTTAGGCTTGCCTGACTTGTTTTTGCTGTATGCTCTTGATACTGTTCATATTTCTCTGTCTGGTAATGTGTTTAAACACTAAACATTGTCTTTATGCTTCGGATTTATGCTATCCGTGAAAACGCAAGGATTGTGGGAAGAAGGAGATCCTTTTAACAGTTTAGTTGATATCGCAGGATGATTCATATGGACAATGATTTAACTGTTAAATGAACTCTCCTTGCCTTTTACTTGCCTGTAGTAGACGTAGACATACTCTTTCCTTCTCATGTGTTCCTGATGTGAGGTGGAGTATGATGAACTTATGATATATCCGCATCCACAGGTTATTAAACACTTGGAGTCTGGTGGAAAGAGTTCTGATCCGGGTACCAGAGGTCTAAAGCGAATTACTCCTCGACACTGAGTGTGGAGGGATATTGCTGAATAGGACACTTAGGGTCCAATTCTGTCTCGGATACTTAGGATTCGAGACGAATTATCCCTCGGTACTGAGTCGTGGAGGACTAGTGCTGAATAGGACACTTAGGGTCCGAAGCTGTCTCGGATACTTAGGATCCGAGGTGAATTATACATTCCCTGGCGTGGAGCCGGAGGGGGGTTTCGCCGAGCCGAACACTTAGGGTCCGAGGTGAGATTTTCGCCGACCCGAACACTTAGGGTCCGAGGCGAGATTTTTGCCGAGCCAGATACCTAGGGTCTGAAGCGAATGACCTACTCTCCGGCGCTGAGCCTGAGGGGAGGTTTAAATGAATCACTCCCCGGCGCTGAGCCAGAGGGGAGGTTTTGCCGAGCCGGACACTTAGGGTCCGAGGCGAGAGAACTACTCCCCGGCGCTGAGCCTGAGGGGAGGTTGTGCCGAACCGGACACTTAAGGTCCAAGGCGAATGAATTACTCCCCGGCGCTGAGCCTGAGGGGAGGTTTGTTTTATATTTTTCCTCAAACCACTTATCATGAGGCCAAGGACTCAAAAATGATAGGAGGCCAAGAAAGCGAGTAACAGTGGCTGTGAAGTTTTCCATTTGTTGACTTTAGAGACCTGCCTCCACTGATACTCCCTTCTTGGCAGCCAAATGTTGTGGACCACGCATATATGAACCGCATTTCTTTTCTATTTCTATCCGATGTGGGACATAGACTAAATTTTGTCAAAAAAGTCGGTGTAAGGAATGCCTCTGGTATTGAGCTTGACAGCCTTGAATACCAGTGGGCCCTCCTTACACCGTAATTAACTATTTGAATATTCCCATATATAACAGAATGTAGCACATACTGTTTTATCGATGTGGGATAGAAAGTTTTAAGCACAGGCCATAATTCATGTGTTTTGTGTCTTGTGTGCTTGTTGTTTTTTGTTTGTTTTTTTTTTTTTTTTTTTTTTTTTTGTAAAAATCATTGTAAATGCTTTTTAGCAGCTTGCTTGTAAAAATCATTGTAAATGTTTTTTAGCAGCTTGCTTCTAACGCATAAATGCTTTTTAGCAGCTTGCTTCTAACGCATAGTGCGACTTGGCATGCGCATAAAAGATGCGTAATCATAGAGTCGTATGGCCCCATTTTTATAAAAAGAAACAAAAATATAGAAAAGTGTGGCTGACTGTGGACAT